ACCAATCCCAAATGAGTCCCTTCTATGAGGAAAGAAAACAATTGCAATCTTTACAAGATGAGATGATCTTTTGAGCTGGTAATGTAGTTCAGTTGGTAGAGTGCTTGCCTAGGATGCATCAAGGTCATCTTTGCTAACATAGTGAGTTCAAGGCCAGCCTGGGATACATGAGACCCTGCAGAAATGGGGGTATGGGGGTGGGGGGGAGAGGGAGAGGGAGGGAGGGAGGGAGGGAGGGAGGGAGAGAGAGAGAGATATTAATGGATCAGTCATCTGAACTTTGTATTTGGAACTCTTCTGGCCACAATTCTGAGCACACCTCCCTACAGTTAGAGAGCACTTTGTGAAATGCACATGAAATGAAATGTTGTAGAGGATGGCTTTGGTGAATCAAAACGACTGGATGAATGAGTCAAGAATGCCCTGGAACAGATGAATCTTGAGTAAATTCACTAACACGTTTGATTTTCTTTTACCCACCATTTCTCTATAGAATACAGCTGTTGGGCCAATGATACTGCAGTCTTATCACTTGAAATTTACCTCCTCAGCCTTCAACAGAAGGGTCTAGGTATGTGACCTGCCTCAATGTATCCCCTCTTACCTCTTACAGTTTTAACAGCCTCTTTGACATAAGAAGACAGACATCAGCTAGAAATTGTAATGATGCCCTAAAGGCTAGTGGGCAAAAATAAATCCAGTGAAACTAATTTGTCTGGAAAGACAAAAGAATTCTGTCTTGAAGCATCCAGTTCAAAACCATTTCCTTCTGAACAGTTACTTATTTAGCTCAGTGGAAGACCTAGATAGTGAAAACTTGTTATTTGGCAGGAATATATATTACTAGTACTTGAAGGAAGAACAGAGCTATTACTACAGTAAAAATGATGATAAATAATTCATGCTTTTATTTCTAGGAAATGCATAACTTATTGTAGCTTTATGTCAGGGCTCCTCACAAATGAAAGAAAAGCATAGATACAAGGTTGGTATTACTAACCTAAGTAAATTCTAACCAGAAATATTATTGTCTCTTTATGGTCTCTACTCAAAAGCAACCATAAGGAGGTCACATGAGTCAAGTAATGTAAAAAAATCATTTATTTTGAGACAGGGCCTCCCTGTAGCCCCAGCTAGCCAGAAACTTGCTATCTAGACCAGGCTGACCTCACTCTCACAGAGACCTGCCTGCCTCTGCCTCCCAAGTGCTGGGATTAAAGACATGTACCACCATGCCCAGTGTAAAAATGCCTTTAAAATTGTATTTATTTTTATTTTATGTATATGCATGTTTGGGGTGCATGTATGTAAGTACACTCATGCATGCAATGTTCACAGAGGGCAGAAGAGGGCATCAGATTACTTGCAGCCGGAGTCACAGATGGTTATTAGCTGCCATGTGGGTGCTGGGAACTGAACCTGGGTCCTCTGCAAGAGCAGCCAATACTCTTAACTCCTGAGCCATCTCTCCAACCCCAACTCCAATCTGAGTTCATCATTTTTTTTTCTGGAGTACCTGGCATCTCATGCCAATACCCAAACCAGCACAGGACAAAAACGTGTGCACATCCTGCCCCAAACCTGGCATTTTTAGACATCTGGAGTTCAAGCAGAAATTAGGTAGTTTGGGTTTGGTTTTTTTTTTGAGACTGGGTCTTGTTATGCAGCTGAGGATTGAACTTCTAATGTTCCTGCCTCAACATCCCAAGTACTGGGATCATAAACCTGCACCACAATGTCTGGAATCAATGAGGCATTGATTTGCATTTCCTAAATGATTGGACATCTGTTCATGTACTTATTAGCCTTTTCTAAAAATCTTTACTCTTTTCTTAATGAAGTATATCTGTTCAAATCTTTTGCTTATCAGGAAAAAATAGGTTGTGTTGGATATGGTGGTGCATGCCTATAACTATGTGCGCAGGCTGAGGCAGATGGGTCACAGGTTCAAAGAGCCTGGGCTACAAAGTGAGACCCTCTAAAAAGCTGCTTGTCTATTTACTAGGTTGTAAAAGTTCTTTATAGGTTCTAGAAACAAATCCTTTGTCAGATACATGGGTTTTGAATATTTTCTCACTTTTGTGACTTACCATTTCTTATTTATTAACTACATTTTATTTGTTGATTTTTTAAAAATAAATATTAATGTGTACTTTGATCGTATTCACCCAACTACTCCCCTTAACTCTTCCCAGATCTGTCCCCATGCCCAGTTATCAACTCCAACTTGTGCTGTCCATATTTTTCTGAGTGTGGGGCCATCCGCTGGAGCATGGACCACCTACCAGGGGCCATACCCTTAAAGAAAACTGATTCTTCCCTCCCCTCAACACCATCAACTGTCCACAGCACCTCAGTTAGGGTGGGGCTCATGAAATCCTTCTCACTCCATTCTAATGTTAACTGGTTTAATTTTGTTCAGGCACCCACAGCTGCAGGGAGTTCATGAGTGCAGCAGCCCCATCATGTCCAGGAGACACTGTTTATCTCCAGTCCTCTTAGACCTCTGGCTTATAATCTTTCTAACTCTCTTCTGAGATGGTCACTGAGTCTTTTTTTTTTTTTTTTTTTTTTTTTAAGATTTATGCTGGGTGTGGTGGCACATGCCTTTAATCCCAGCACTTGGGAGGCAGAGGCAGGCAGCTCTGAGTTCGAGGTCAGCCTGGTCTACATAGCCAGTTTCAGGCCAGCTGAGGCTTCAGGGAGACCCTGTCTCAAAAAGACAAAAAACAAGCCAAACCAAAACAAATCAAAACAGAAGATTTATTCTTTTTATTTTATTTTATGTATATGAGTGCTTTTGTGTGCATGCAAGTGCACCATGTGTGTGTAATACCCACAGAGGCCAGGAGAGGGCATTGGATTCCCTGGAGGTGGGATTACAGCCAGTTTGTAAACTACAATGTAGGTGTTGGGAACCAAATTCTGTTTTTCTGCAAGACTAACAAGTGATTTTAGTTGCTGAACCATCTCTCCAGCTCCCCTACCCGCTTTTGTTGAGACAGGGTCTCCCTGTTGTAGCCCCAGCTGACCTGAAACTATGTAGACTAAGCTGGCCTCCAGTTCAGAATCCACTTGCCTCTGCCTCCTGAGTGTTGGCCCCTTGTTTTTTTCTCTCTTCATTAAACATTTTATTTTACATAATTATAGATTAATGTGTTCAGTGGCAAGATATAGTAAGGAGAGATCCCTTGACCCAGTTTTGTTTTCTGATACAGGGTCTCACAAAGTACCTGGCTGGCTTGGAAATTGCTATGTAGATCAGGCTGACCTCAAACGTGCAGTGATCCTCCTGCCTCTTCTCTGAAGATGTGTATGACCATACCTAGCCTACTTTTTTTTCCAATATGTTTTCTGAAGAGCACATGTTTTAATTTTGATTAAGACTACTTCATTATTATTTCTTCTTTTTATTTTTCTCTTCTGCTTTTGGTGTTTAATATAAAAATCTTTTCTTGTTCCAGAGCAAAGATATTTTCCTCTTGGATGTTCATAAAATGGGAATAGTAGTAACTTGCACTTAGGACTCTGATACACTTGAATTATTTTATATATATACTTTTACAAATTAATATAAATAGTAGCAATCTATATATATATATATATATATATATATATTTGGTCTTTTTGAGACAAGGTCTCCCTGTAGCCCCAGCTGTCCTGGAACTCACTATGTAGACCAGGCTGGCCTTGAACTCACAGAGATCTGTCTGCCTCTGCCTCCCTAGTGCTGAGATTAAAGATGGTCTTTTAAAAATTATTACCAGGTGGATATTCAGCTGTTCTAGCATCATTCATTGAAAAGGCTTTCCTTTCTCCATTGGCACCTTTGCCAAAAAACATACAGAAGAACCCCGACTCAGAATAGTTTGAGAGTTTTTTACTTTATCATGATGCAAAAGTGATTTATATTTAGTACCATAAGTCAAAATTTGATCTTTTCCTCAGCTAGTGATAAAGTAGTACAATATTTTTTTTGTGTGTGTAAAGCTGGGCAGCTCAGAGGATGGAACATGATCAACACAATAAAGAACCAATACTCTACAATACACAGTGTTGCAAAGTTATAGTATTTGATAGGTTAGGTATATAAAATGCATTTTTGTCTTACAGTATATTCCACTTATACCCAATTGTGTGTGTGTGTGTGTGTGTGTGTGTGTGTGTGCATATGTGTATGTATATGTGTGTGTCTGTATTCTCCTGGACTATGTAGTGATTTATACACTTACCGTTTCACCAATACAACATTCTCTAGATAATGGGAAGTTTTAAAATCAGGTAGTATAGGCAGGTGTGGTGGCACATGCCTTTAATCCCAGCACTTGGGAGGCAGAGGCAGGCTTATCTCTGAGTTCCAGGCCAGCCTGGTCTACATAGTGCACGAACACACGCACACACAGCCAAAGCAAGCCTAACCAGGAGGGGATACATCTGTCATATTCTTTTCTGTTTGTTTGGTTCTTTTGAGACAGGGTCTCCCTGTAGCTTCAGTTGACTTGGAACTGGCTATGTAGACCAGGCGGCCTCAATCTCATAGAAACCCACCTGCCTCTGCCTCCCAAGGGCTGGTATTAAAGGCATGTATCACCTGGTCTGGCTCTTTGTCATGTTCTTGGTTTTTTTGTTTGTTTGTTTGAGACGGGGTCTCCCTGTAGCCCCAGCTGGCCTGGAACTTACTATGTAGACAGGCTGGCCCTGAACTCACAGAGATACATACTCCTGTCTCTGCCTCCTGAGTTCTGGGATTAAAGGCACATGCCACCACGCCCGGCATGATCTTAAAGATCTTAAAGGAGCTGTGTTCATCCTTTTCCCAAACAGCATAAATCATTTATCATGAAAAATGGATGAATCTTATCCAATACTTTTCATGCATCTATTAAGATAATCATATGATTTTTACCCTTCCAGTTTTCTGATGCAGTGTATGTTGAACCATCCTTGCATCCCTAGGATGAAATCAACTCAATCATGGTGAGGGATCTTTTTTCCCCCCACATCAGATGGGTAATGTGCTGATGCATAATAAGGTTTTTGAGGGAGGCACATGTCACACAACCATGTGAACACCCAATCATCAATGCTTATGAACCAAAAAAGGATCATGAGTGATCTCTTTAAAAAAATTATTCTGGGGCTGGAGAGATGACTCAGTGGTTAAGAGCACTGACTGCTCTTACAGAGGAACCAGGTTCGATTCCCAGCACCTACATAGTGGCTAACCATCCATAACTCCAGTTCTAGGGGATCTGATGCCTTCTTCTGACCTCAGGCATGGCATGACACAGGTACCCTCACACACATGCAGGCAATACACTTATACACATAAAAATAATAAACAAGGGGCTGGAGAGATTGCTCAGTGGTTAAGAGTACTGACTGCTCTTGCAGAGGATCGAGGTTCGATTCCCAGCACTGACATGGAGGCTATGAACTGTCCTTGACTCCAGTTCCAGGGGAATCCAAAGCTATCTTCTGACCTCCTCAGCATTGCAGGACATGGGTGCACTCACATACACGCAGGCAATACACTCATTCACATAAAATAAAAATAATAGGCCGGGCATGGTGGCGCATGCCTTTAATCCTAGCAATCGGGAGGCAGAGAAAGGCAGATCTCTATGAGTTCGAGGGCGGCCTGGTCACCATAGCGAATCCAGGCCAGCTGGGGCTACAGGGACCCTGTCTCAGAAAGACCAAATATATATTTAAAATAATAAAATATTTAAAAAATTATTCTATCAATCTATCATTTATATACCTCCCCTCCCTCTCCCCTTCCCCCTCCCCTACCTCCTCCCCCTCCTCCTCCTCCTCCTGTGAGGTCAGAGGACAATTGCATGCATGTGAGGTCAGAGGACAATTTGCAGGAGTTGGTTCTCTCTCCCTCTACCATGTGATGTGGGTCCCCTGGATTAAACTCAGGTCATTGTGTAAATGTACCAGATTTTCATTATCTACTCGTCAGCTGAGGGACACTTAGGTTGCTTCCATCTCTTAGTTATTGTGAAAAGAGCAGCAACAAACATGGATGTATAAGTGTCTCTGCAATAGGATGAGTTCTTTGGGTATATGCCAAGGATATAATTGGGTCAAATGGTAGGTTCCTTTTTAGTTTTTTAAGGGTTCTTCACATAGGAGTTGAACAAGTTTGCAATCCCACCAGCAGTGGATGAGCATTCCCCTCTCCCCACATCCTCTCCAACATTTGGTATCATTTGTTCTTTTGATCTTAGCGATTCTGACTGGGGTAAGATGAAATCTTAAGGTGTTTTTAATTTGCATTTCCTTAGTAACTAATGATGTTAGGCACCTTTTAATATGCTTCTTAGCCATCTTTACTTCCTCTTTTGAGAACTCTCTGTTCAGCTCCTTAGCCCATCCTTTAATTGGGGTACTTCCTTTCTTGATTCTTTGTTTTTTGAGTTCTTTATATATTCCGGATGTAAAACCTCTGTTAGATGTGTTGCTGGTGAAGATTTTCTCCCACTCTGTGGGTTTTCTTTTCACTTCCTTAGTTGCTTCTTTTGATGCACAGAAGCTTTTTAGTTTAATGAGGTCTCATTTGTTGATTCTTGACTTTATTTCTTGAGCAACTGCTGTCCAGTTTAGAAAGTCCTTTCCTACCCCTATATCTTGGAGGTTATTGCCAATGTTTTCTTCTAACAGTTTCAGAGTTTCAGGTTTCACATTGAGGTCTTTGACCATTTGGAGTTGACTTTTGTGCAAGGTGAAAGATAGGGGTTTAGTTTCATTCTTCTACAAGTGGAGATCCAGTTTTGCCAGTACCATTTGCTGAACATGATGTCTTTCCTCCAGTGAATGTTCTTGGTCCCTTTGTCAAATATCAGGTGGCTGAAATTTCATGTACTCATATTTGGGTCTTCAATTTTGTTCCATTGATCTACGGGTCTATTTCTGTGCCAATACTGTTTCTTTTTTTTGTTTTAATTTTTTTTTTTTTTTGGTCTTTTTGAGATAAGGTCTCTCTGTAGTCCCAGCTGTTCTGGAACTATGTAGACCAGGCTGGCCTTGAACTCACAGAGACCCACCTGGCTCTGCCTCCTGAGTTCTGGGATTAAAGGTGTGTGCTACCATGCCTGCATGGTTATTTTTATGACTATAGCTCTGTAATATAGTTGAAAATCTGGTATAGTAATCCCCCCTAGCATTGCTCTTAGTGCTCAGGGTTGCTTTGGCTATCTGAGGTCTTTTGTGCTTCCATATGAAACTTAGGATGTTTTTTTCCCAATTCTGTGAAGAATGTCATGGGGATTTTGATTGGTATTGCCTTGAATCTATAAATGGCTTTTGGCAGCATGGTCATTTTCACTATATTAATTCTTCCAATCTATGAGCATGGGAGGTCCTTCCATCTTCTGGTGTCTTCCTCAATCTCTTTAAAGATCTTAAATTTTCACTGTAGATGTCCTTAATATCTTTAGTCAGGTTTATTCTGAGATATTTTATTGTTTTGAGGCTATTGTGAAGGGGAGTTTTTCCATGTACTCCTTCTCTGATTGTTTGTTATTGGTATATAGAAAGTCTACAGACTTTTGTAGACTAATTTTGTAACCTGCCACTTTAGTGAAAGTGCTAATAATTTCTAGGAGTTTTCTGGTTGAATTTTTGGTATCTCTTAGATATAATAACATATCATCTGCAAAAAGGTATACTTTGACCTCCTCTTTTCCAATTATTACTCTTTTAATTTCCTTCTCTTGTCTTACTGCTCTTGCAAGAGTTTCAAGTACTATGTTATAAAGGAGTGGAGACAGTGGTCAGCCTTGTTTGGTTCCTCATTTCAATGGGAATGCTTCCAGTTTTTCTCCATTTAGAATGATGTTGGCTATGGGTTTGTTGTAGGTGGCTTTAATTATGTTGAGGTATGTTCCCTCCAGTCCAGTTCCCTCTAGGACTTTGAACATAAATGCATGTTGAATTTTGTCAAAGGCCTTCTCTGCATCTATTGAGATGACCATGTAGTTGTTGACTTTGAGCCCATTTATATGATTTATGACATTTATTGACTCACATATATTGAACCATCCCTGCATCTCTGGGATAAAGCCAACTTGATCATGGTGGATGATCTTTTTGATGTGTGTCTGTATGCAGTTTGCAAGTATCTTGTTGGAGAA